TATATATATATATATATATATATAGATAAACGCGAGAATAAAAACTACAAACGTTTAATGTCTTCCTACACTTAACACAATATATATTCCTTCAGTAATTGATGTTAAGATGAAAAAAAAAAAAAATGGCTGCTCAGTGAAAGCCAAACGAACGCGCTTTCCTTAGCTTTAAAGAAAATTATTTTTTAATGAAAAGAGCGAATATTTTCGCGAAAAAAAAAATATTTAGATATGGCACTGACATTCATATTTTGATGATTAAAATTTCTCCGTTGTCGCTGTTAGGAAGGAAACCTCATACAGTTTAACCCGGATATAAGAGAATTGTCGAGACCGGAGAAGAAGTCTCTTATATCCTGGTTTCTCTTATATCCGGGTTTGGTCTATTTTATATACATTAACACAGGCTCTAATTTGGAACCGGAGAAAATCTCTCTTATATCCGGGTTTCTCTTAAATCCGGGTCTCTTATATCCGGGTTACACTGTATATGAAAATCGGGCTAATAACAAGACTAATTAAAACTAACCTTTTAAATAAGGGATTACGTATAGTCACCTGTCGTAGAATCATGGTGATACAGTGATCGGTGAAGCATGCTCTTGGGAGTCGGTTCCACAGGGCAGTTGTTCGCAGGAAGAAGCTGTTTGAGCTAAACCCTAATTCTCGACGATGGAATACTTAGAGATTGTGGCTGGTCTGCTAGTTGCAGTGGGGCTCATATCCGTGAAGGTTAGACGTAGCGAACCAAGGGATATTGTTCGTCCGACCACTTTCCATGTAAATAGCAATACAGCAATACGAGACTCGCCACATGCCGCCAATGATGAAGAGGTTGAAGTGCGGATAAATAATTCTTCTCCAACAGGAAATCGGAGACGCTATTGAAGACTATCAAGACGGGAATGTGAGAAACGGGAAGCTATCACCGAGTTGTCCATTTTCGGCCTGATCTGGACATTATAAGGCTAGAGGATAGAACGGTGGGGTCAGGTAATAACTGGAGGGGGAACCGATCATTTTACCTGCGTCTTTAACGATGGCTCGTATATAAGATTTCCACTTTATGCATGGTGTTAGCAAGCTTGTCTCGCTAAAACAGTTATGAGTGAATAGTGAGTTCGATCCTCATGATGTGTCCCCATGCTTTCGGCCTTGCGCCACATCTAAGCTACGCTTAGAAAATGATTTAGGGCACCACGAGGCGGTTTCAAAGTTATCAAGCTTGTCTCGCTAGAAAAATTACGACTGACTAGTGAATTTGAACCTCACTGGGTGCCCCATGTTTTCAGTCTTGTACCGCATCTAAGCTACACTAGTAAAATCCCTATTTAGGTTACCTCGGCGTGGTGTAATGGTTAGCAAGTGAATTGTGAGTTCGATCCTCATGATGCGCCTCATTCGTTCGGCCTTGTGCCACATCTAAGCTACGCTTAGAAAATAATTTGTGCACCTCAAGGCGGTTTCAAAGTTAGCAAGCTTGTCTCGCTAGAACAATTACGACTGAGTAGTGACTTCGATCTTCACTGGGTGCCCCACGCTTTCAGTCTTGTGCCCCATCTAAGCTACGCTTGGAAAACCATTATAAGATTTCCACTAGAGGTTGGCTCTCAGTTCGAGGCGTACTATTCTCTTAAGTCATGGCGCTTCCTCTGAGGGACATCCGTTCATCGTGACTGGCGTTAATTCAGGGTCTTATCGGCAATGGAGGAATGTAGCTAACTTACTTACACTTTTCAACAGTAATTCACTCGTCAGATAGACTTTCTCTTACTGAAGGCTTTTATCATATATTCAAAAATAATAATAATAATAATAATAATAATAGCAACTACACTAATTGCATAAAGTTTCATTAAAATCTTAGCTCATTTTGTTTAATCTAACTTTCTGTCTAATGGCAATCTTAGAGCTGTCAGATAGCAAATTTAATTAAAGCCCTCTCTAAAAAATTGAACCACATGTGCTAATGGGATACACAAATTGATCAAATAGATGAAGGTATGAAGGTTACTAATTATTAAATACATAGGATGGCCCCTAATCTTTGGCTTATAGCAGGTATCGCCAAACCGCACTTGCGAGCCACATGCGGCACTTTGATATTTAATATGCAGCTCGTGGAAATGTTTTGGCTGAGCGCCATTTTTTTTTATAACTTTTCTTATAAAAGGTAAATAAGAAAAAAAGTTCAAGCTTTAAAATAATTTACTGGGTATAATTTGAGACAGCATTCGATTAAAAACATTTGAATTTCCATAACTGGTATGAAAGGAGACTCCCTGTCGCCATTTCTGTTCTGTCTGTCTTTAATCCCCCATTAGTATGAAGTAAACAGCAATATGATTATGGATTCAAAGTAAAAAAGTAAGTGTTTAATGATCTATTCTACATGGATAATATCAAACACTTTACCAAAGATGACAATGATTTGAGGAGTATTCTCAATAGTGTATGATGTTTCAGGGATTACATCGGTATGGATCTTGGATTAGCTAAATGTGCAAAAGTAATACTTAAGAAAGGGAAAATTACAGAATCACCTTCAATAGATCTGGATTTTGTTACAAAGATTAGGAAGTTGGAACAAGAAGGAGCTTATCGATAGCTAGGATAGAGTAAAGGAGATTAAATACAGCATATCCAAATGAAGAAAAAAGTAAGAAAAGAATACCCCGGACGTGTGAGTCTGGTGTTAAATGTCGAGTTAGATTTACAAAACAGAATACCAACCATAAACACTTTGCTCGTCGCCATAGCGTTTCAACTTCGTTAATTGGACCTTAACTGGCATTAAACAAATGGATGTCAAAACGAGAAAGCTTCTCACTTGCTATCGTATGCATTATCCTAAACCCAATGTCGATCGTCTCTATCTGTCCAGATCTAAAGGAGGGAGATGATTAGTTCAAATAAAACTGTCTGACACAGTCACAAAAATCGGTCTATAATGGTACCTGGTATAGAAGACTGAATGATGCTTTGCGCCAAAGAACATGAAACAAATAAGAAACTTTATTCAGTAATAAAGCATTTAAAAACATTCAAATGGGAATTTCAAATCGGTGAAGAAGGGCGAATAAACCATAATACACCTACTGAAGCGGCAAAAGACATATAAAAAGAAAGTAAAAGCAAATGTAAAAACGATTGCAAGATAATTCTTTCATCGGCAATACTCTACCCATACCACACAAGGTGATGTAAACAAACCCTGTACTGATCAGTGGTTAGGTAGTGTAAGGTTGAAAGCTGGAATCGAAGGTTTTACTTCTGGCTGCACAAGACCAATGGTTACTAACTAGGAATTACAAAGGACACACACTGAAAAATTGTGTTGACCCCAAATGCAGATTCTGAGGTAAATATCCATAAACTATTTACCATATTGTATAAGGGTGAACAGTGTTATCATCTACTGAATATAAATCACGGCATGATAGAGTGGGCTAGTATCTGCACTATAAAATATGTAACTTTTACGGGAAGGAAAATGCAAGTAACTGGTATGAACATCACTCAGACCCGGTTACATAGATAAGGCCTGTAACAAATGTATGGGACTTTACACTGCACAGAGATAGAACAATCAAATCTAATCGCGCAGATATCGGGATCACAGATCAAAAATGCAGAATGTTCTTTACTGTTAACATGGCAGTCTCCACAGTTTGTAAAATATCTTAGAAGATCTTTAAAAAAAAATCTATCAAAATATCTTGAAGTTGAAATTTGAAAAATGTGGGACATCAAAAATTCCAGTGGTAATTGGAGCCCTCGGATTGATTGGAAAAATTACCGAATGTATTCATGCTAGCCCATGCCTTAAATAAATACAAAAATTGTTTTCAAAAGTACAGCTCACACATTACGAAGAGCTTTATCTGTGTAAAATATGTGTGATTTTCTTTTTTTTAAATGATCAGTGGAAAATATCATGAAACCATTTCTGGCCATACGTCTCAAGCTGGGACTTGTAATGAAATGTGCATTCAACACAAATCAAAGGAAACAACAACAACAACAATATTACTACTACTACTACTACTACTACTACTAATAATAATAATAATGCTTAGTATGTCGTCAATTCATTTGTACGAGTTGCTTGGCATTGAAATATTCTTCGAAAGTTTTTCTCTGGTGTTGCACGACTTGATGCAAAAGCACCGATTGAAAATGAAAACTTCTATGTGTCGTGTCTCTTTGGGATGTTGCCAGTCATGGCCCTCCACAACATCCTGTAATTTCTAACTTATAGTAAGGTTTGCTTTATAGCTGTGTCGACTAATCCCAGTTCTACCAACCAGTTGCACAACTTCCTTAGGTAGGTTATTCGCAGCTTTCCTCTCTCTCTCTCTCTCTCTCTCTGTATCTCTGCCCTCTCTCTATCTCTTTTACTCTATCTCTGTATCTGTCTACCACACCCCCTCTCTCTGTGCCTCTCTAGACTTCGGTATATCACGTGACTGTACAATCACTCTTTCCTCATTATGTGCCCTAGAAAGATCAATTGTTTCTTTCTGGTTCCAAGTGACATTTTAGTTTCTCTTTTCCCTAAAACTTCCTTACATGTTCAGTAAATGGAATTCTCAGCATCCTCCTGTAGAAACACATATCTTAATTCTATACTTCCTCTCTGGAGAAATTGTGCAGTATACACTGACATAAATGAGGAATTATATAACATATTAGTAATCTTTCCTTTGTTCGTTATGAATATTTTCTATCTCCGTGTAATTACGTCTAATGACACTTGGACGTGTGTACTGAAAGACAACGTCTGAAAATATCGTTTAGAAAATTTTATAGACACTGTCCTTTTTTGCATCACCTACAAAACACGCGTTATTAATAAAGATATCTTTTTTTTGCAAAAAATACTTGTTCTTTTGTTTCCTTTATCTCGAGCACAAGCATCAGATTGTGTGTGAAGCTTTTTAACATATATTTACCCATTTTACGATCACGGCGACTTGCCCGACGGTTTGTTACACGTCAGCCTCTGATTGTCGCTCAGATCAATCAGCCTCTAAATCAAATTTCCCATCTCCATCGCTTTAGCCGGGTGTGTTTGCCAGACATTTTCAACAATGGCCGCCAGCCGAAAGTCTATTACTGTCTATCCACTACTTCCGCTGGAACCACAAGTTTAATTGTAAGCGGATACGAAAGTCATCAGTATTTTTAGCCTCTGGCCACTCCAGATGTTGTCGTTTCATCTGCCCGATGACCTTTCAATAATTATCTGATAGATAAAAGCACCTTGTCTCGAATGACGAGAGAGGTTAGGGTAAAGTAGACATTAATTTTATGGAGCAGAAAGGGTAATAATTTGGAAAATGAAATCCTAAACTCAGTCGAGCGTAATGGCTTTCAGAGAGTTGAAAATTTTGTTATGTAAATTTGTAGTATCAATCTTCTTTGTTAGTTTTAACCACTTAGCAATCGTTAACATGATATCACCCGAAAAATGTTTAGGCACTGAGTTTGGGAAAGTACTCACAGCGTACCGGGTATAGACGTGGACTGGGGAATTGACGTGGCGAGTTCAAATTACGGTCGCAGTTTACCCGATTCCCGCAACCTGGTTAATAAAAGAGCAGCCCGGATTCTCTAGCCTTGTTTGGCAACTAGTCTGTCACAAAGACAGCCAAGATTTAAAACTAATTTGGAAGCGGCTGGGAAATCGACCTCTTAAAAACCTGCATGCCAACCACAGAAACCAGAAAAGCAGCACATGGTATTTTGAAGCTACGGACCTATTCTCCGCAGGGGAATGGCTCTAAGGTAGTGGCGTAGGTAGGGATTGTTTCTCTGATAATTACGCGGTAAGTTTTACAAAGTACTTTGTACATAGTGATGAAAGCAGTGGAACAGAGCATTAGCTGAAGCGTCTGACATGAGATGTCTACTGAAATGCCATGCCTTAGTAGTTAACTGAGAGTGAATCAAGAAGGCACTGAGGTCATAAATTATTATCCCACGGAAAAATTACCAACAGAAATCAAGTAGACAGCACTTCTAACTTCTAGTAACAGCCGGCGCCTACTGCCGGACCGAGGTTTGTCTCATGTTGTGAAACTGTAGTACGCCCGTGCGTGGGGACCCAGACCGCGGTACGCTCGACTGGCCGACCTCCCTTTCTCTATTCAGTCCACAAACATTGCAAGATTGTTCTATAAAATACAAATAGCAACTATGAACAGTTATTCCAAGACAAGGTTTAAAAAAAAACAAAAACCGTGAGTTCTAGAAAATCTTGATTTCTTAATTCGTGCAAAGTGTCCGCCATCAAATTACCGCGAGGAAAGTTCACCGCGAGGAAAGTTCACCGCGAAGAATGTTCACCGCGAGGAAAGTTCACCGCGAAGAATGTTCACCGCGAGGAAAGTTCACCGCGAAGAATGTTCACCGCGAAGTAAGTTCAACGCGAGGAAAGTTTACCGCGAAGAAAGTTCACCGCGAAGAAAGTTCACTGCGAAGTAAGTTCACAGTGAGGAAAGTTCACCGCGAGGAAAGTTCACCGCGAAGTAAGTTCACAGCGAGGAAAGTTCACCGCGAGGAAAGTTTACCGCGAAAAAAGTTCACCGCAAAGTAAGTTCACAGTGAGGAAAGTTCACCGCGAGGAAAGTTTACCGCGAAGAAGTTCACCTTGAAGTAAGTTCACAGCGAGGAAAGTTCACCACGAGGGAAGGTAACCGCGAGGAAATTTCACCCTGAGAAACGTTCACCCCGTAGAAAGTTCACCGTAAAAACAGTTTTTTAATAGCTTCTAATTTGATTAATCAACGTATCTAAAACATTTTTAACATAGGGTAAGAGTAAAGAATAACTGTAATTATGCATTTTAATTTAATTAATTTCATAATTAAAATTTGGGTTTCCAATAACTGCTATTATGCACTACACCTCTCAAGTAGTAAAGCATACAATTATCTTCGTTGTAATTTAGAATGAGTCTCCTAAAATTATTAATTATAAAATCTAATGAATTTATACTGTGATCCTTCCTCGCATTTTTTGATGGCGGTAAACTTCCCTGCAGTGAAATGATGCGGGTGATTTGACCTGTAGACAAGCGTCACTGCCAACTATCATGAATGACCCCGAGTTTAATTAATCTTTGTCTGAAAAAGCAGGGTTCTTTGTAATGAACTTTGATTCTATTTCCAATTTAGATGATAAGGACAACCTTTACCTGATTTCCCCTTCTCAGAGAGCACAAACTTTGTGATATCACGATCATGATACAGGGCATCTACAGATATATTAAAAGCCATGGCTCTAAAAAGGCTACAATTCCGGATGAAATCTCTTTGGTTATTCAGTTATTTCCAATCTTGTCAAAAGTGTTTAACCGTTGCCTGAAAGAGATATGCTTCTCAAGTATATGGAAGGTATCAACTTGTTTGCTCTGTGGAGTAAGGGATAGCGGCTCGGATTGAGGAATCGGAGAGCCGAGTTCGAATTCCAGTCGAATCCAATACATTAACTTACGTGCTAATACCACTGGAAAAAGTATGAATCCTCGTCTTCCTCCCACCAACAATGGGTAAATAGTAGGACATACCGAGTTCTATAGCCTTGGATGGCAACTGGTCTACCGCAGAAAGAAATGGCAACCTGCTGCGGGAAAAATCTGCCTCATCAGTCATGTCTCACGCATGGCACATAACTGATTGTAATGTCGACAGCATCCGTAGTATCATCAGCAAACGCTTTACGTCTAAATTCAACCAGAAGGTTCTTGAATATTTCAACAGGAATATACAGAGCGATATCTAATAGGTTCTCTGTTGATGTTCTAACTCACTAGCGTCATTACCCAAAGAAGCAGTGAGACACTAGACAATAAATTTATCACGAAAACTATAACCTTAGAGATATCAAAAGCTTTTGACAATTTTTGCTACGTCCTTTGACAGGGATTGCTTTACAAAATCTTAAGCTATGGAATCTCTGTAAGGATATTATCAATAATCAAGTCTTTCCTAACAGCTCGATCCATTCAGCTATTTTAATGGCCAGTAACCCAAAGTCCATGAAATCAATGCCGGCGTTCGCTAATGGTCACTTCTCTGTCCCTGCCCGCTTTCTTATTATTTTTCAATAAGGATCTGCCTAAGAGTACACACCTATATTTTGTGAATATATACGCAAATGACACAAGAGTATATAGGTGCAACCCTCGAAATCTAGATGGTCAGAGTTTGGCAGTAGATATCTCTTTTGACCTATCCCCTTAGCGGCTCAATTGGAGAAATGGCTTGTAACATACAAAAGCTACAAAACCAAACTAGTAACGTTCGATCATTGCCGAACAGAGGCTGGATTTGTCCTCTATCAGGATTGATTTCGGTTCTCCCAAGAAGGCTCGTCGCCTTTAACGCCTATTATGACTCAATCCCACTCCCAACCCTGGACTGGAAGTCATATATACATTGCTAAATGGTGGTTGCCTTGTACAGCTTTACTAGGAATTAGACTCCTCTTACTAGGCTATATCTTTATAAGAACCAGATCAGAACAAATATTGTGTATCACTGTCATATCTGAGGTGGGGCTTTCAAGTTGTCACCTACCTGACTTGACAGAGTTCAAAACCGTCCACGCGGCCTTTATTTTCAACCCAACAACTCGTTTCCCACTGACAAAACATTGCAAGCCTCTTGCTAATTTATCACTATTTTCAATGAAAAGGGATACATTCCTTAGTTCTACCAGTCCCGCCATTCCACGTGTACTAAAAAGAATCGCCTTCATTTCCTTAGTATTCTGGTAGCGAGAAGTGATTTTCATTCAGGCAGATTCTTACCAAGAACCGTTACTTTGGGAAAAAGACTACTACCTAGTGGATGATTTCTCGAGCACAACACTCATTGCCTATTCAAGTGTAGGGTTAATGGTTACCTCGGTTAATTGACCTCATAAACTCCACTTCTTATCTCCTCTTCTTACGCACATAAAACAACATCGTTCTGCATTCCTCTGTCTTGAGTGGCTCCTGGGCCTTGTATTAGTTGAACATTAGTAACAAAAACAGCAAAAAAAAATAATAAAATAATTCACCTGAATGAATATATATATATATATATATATATATATATATATATATATATATATATATATTACAATAAACGTGCAATCAATTTACAAATACATGAATTATTCACACAAAACTAATGCAAAAGGTTTTTGAAACGCGCCAATGCAACGCAAATGACATCCATTTTGAAATCCTTTTTTAAATGTTTGCGTTTATACCAAATATGGTAATGAACAAATTGATTGTTGTTGGTAAATTTTTTTCAAAGTATTATGAACTATATTGTTCAATAATTACAGTAATGTCGCAACTTATTATGTTTGTTAAAAGACGCACATGGATCGGTTATTTAAATTACAATAAACGTGCAATCAATTTACAATAATTACAGTAATTTGCCACTTTCATTTCCATATTTGGTATAAACGCAAACATTTAAAAAAGAAATTCAAAAATCAAACTCAGCGTTGCATTGGCGCGTTCAAAAACCAATATCTCATTTTCAAAGCATTTCGGATACAATACAATATTTTTTCGATGTCCTCTTATTACTAAGAGAAAAAAAAACAAGAACAACATCTATTATATGTTGAAGATGTCTGTATGAACAGACGAAAGCTTGTGTAAAATAACAACTAATACGGCAGAAATTTATATGAACAAGGATCAATTCATTCATAACGGATCTAAGGTTTTTGTACTATTTGAATTGTTTGCGAGATGGATGTCTCTGCCATTTAAAATCATTAACCTTTTGCATTAGTTTTGTGTGAATAATTATGTATATATATATATATATATATATATATATTCATTCGGGTGAATAATATATATATATATATATATATATATATATATATATATATATATATATATATATATATATTGGTCTTAAATATTTCTTAGGTCCATAGACATTAGATTTTGATTGTTTGTCCAAGAATTTAGTGAAGTGAGATTTTGTATGTATGTATTAACATATATACATTTTTAATGTATGCACATATCTTAAATATTAGACAGTGTAATGCAAAAGTAAGTATATCTGTCTACTGACATTACTATTAATCCTTACTAGATTAATCGTGTGTATTTTCTTTATAAGAAAAACAAATCTCATAATGCCTGGATGTACATGAAAGAAATAATTATATCTGTCTATATTTCTGAAATGAGATATTGTAAATATTTTAAACTATTTACATTGTTCGGACAGTTGCCCTCATGTTCGTTGCGATATTCGCCAAGTTTCGGCCGTACTAAGCTCTGGCCTTCTTCTGGTGATTGGAATTCAGAACTGAACTCTCTATTTCGTCCACCGGGGTAGATTGATCTAGTTCTACGTATCATGCCTCTTTCCGAAATCTCAGTATAGAGTTATCTCCCTTTTAACTCAACTCTCCATTTTTTTTTAATTCACCCCTGATGCAGCCTTGGTCAAGACACTGGTTTCAATCAACGCCTTTATCCAATGGGCCAAAATGAGGACAAGAGTCCGAGCAATGAAAATAGTATATATATATATATATATATATATATATATATATATATATATATGTATGTATATGTATGTGTTATTATTAGTAATCTTATAAGTATAAGAAATTATACTCGTTCGGAAAACCTTCAGTGTTTTGATTTGCAAATAATCAAACCAATACCAAAGGGAAAAAAAGGTATATAAAAAAGAAAGAACCAAGAACATGTACGTTAGCCGGAAATAATCGTCTAGCATGCAGGTCCAAGGCCTAAAGTCCAAAGAAGAAAAAAACCAATACGAGTAGGCAAAATAACTAAATAAAGTGCTCAATACGGTAAGTAGAGCAGGGCAGGCCTAGTTAAACCTAGAGAGCCAGACAAACCTACCAAGGTTTCACCTAAGCCTGATCGATCCACTTATGTGAAACCTTTGTAGGTTTGTCTGGCTCTCTAGGTTTATATATATATATATATATATATATATATATATATATATATATATATATAGTCGACTCTCCCGTCGATTTCAACGTATGAGGTTCAAGCAGATCAGTTTCAGGAAACCGACAGCCCGACACCGTCACATGAGATTTGATTATGTGGTATATATATATATATATATATATATATATATATATATATATATATATATTGATTATATTGATATATATATATATATTGATTATAGTGGTATATATATATATATATATATATACATATGTGTGTGTGTGTGTGTATATATATATGTGTGTGTGTGTATATATATATATATATATATATATATATATATATATATATATATATATATATATATATATGGATAGCGGCTTGGATTGAGGAATCGCAGAGCCGAGTTCGAATTCCAGTCGAAACCATTACATTCACTTTCGTGCTAATACCCTTGGGAAAAGTATGAAGCCTCTTTTTTCTTCCTCCAGCTATGGTTAAAATAGCAGGGCAGACTGGGTTCTATAGCCTTGGATGTCAACTGGTCTAGGAGAAGGACAACTCTGAATTCAAAACCTGCGGTAGATCGTTTGGGAACATGGTGGCACTTAGTGCACCAGATCTCT